TGAAACGCTCCGATTGCGCTGCCGAGTGCTGCGATCCGGGGCAGCCACCGGCTCCCAGAGCTCTCTGAGCCCTGGACAGGGCTGGAGCGAGGAGGAGGTCTCCTCTGTGCATGACCGACCGTGAGAGTCCGAGTGAGTTAAATCTACCCCCGGAAATCTCTCCGGGTTTATATCCCACTGCCATCTCAGAGGTCCCTCCTCATCCGAGCAAACCTACAGCAAAAAATGCAGTCCTGCACGGAGCCCGCCAGGCATGGGCTGCGGTGTGCAGTGGTCAAAGTTCTCCTCGCCTCCCCGCACTCCTCTTCTGGAGCAAACCCAAGGCCTCTCATCAGGTTCAGAAAGGACAAGGCAGTAGCTCAACACCTGCCCCCGGGGCAGCGCAGGAGTGCGACCCTTGTGAGAGGCTGCCCCGATGCCCGTGGGATGGGCGGACAACACATATAGCCCCGTAGTGCAGCGTGTGGGAGCTTTGGAAGGTCCCTGTCTTACCTGCACACCTTCCTAGGCCCAGTCTAGACTCCCACGAAAACACAGATTTAAAGTCAGGGAAAAGGAGAGGAGATGGGAGAAGCCTAAGCAAAAAACAGATAGGATCCGAGCTAAGAAAAACGAAGGAAACATCACCGGAGTATGATGTTGTAAAGAACAGAGGCGCCTAAAAAAAAAGGTTGTTAAAGAGAAGGAAACCTCATAAAAGATTTGGCTTTAGACTTTGAATTGTTGACTTGCAATTCACCTTCATGTGCTGCAAATTTGGCTTTAATTCAGATTCTGAAGGGGAAATAATCATAAAGGCAACCCAAACATTCCTTTGAACTTGACCCAGCAGTGCAAAACACACAGGGAGAAAAGTTACCTTTTAAAGAACTCCAAGCATTCACAGACCCACACGCGATTAAACATGTTTTTTCTTTTTTAATTTAATTTGAAATAAGAGATAAGAAATAATAAATCTTCAATAAAATATATAAAATTGTACAAGGCATCCCTTTCAAAGGGACTTCCCTATAATGGAAGATTGGGAGGGGGAAGGAGGGGGAGAAGAACAGAGGTTCATCCAGGGCAGCGACAGTGCCTGGGTCAAAACAAACCAAAATCAGAAAAAGAAAAAAAAAAGAAAAAAAAAAAAAAGCTCGTGGCTTTTTCATTTTTCTTTCTTTTTTTTTGGATATATATATTTACATTTTTGTTTGTTTGTTTCTTGTTCAACATGCTAAGAAAATAAATCCAGGAGAAGCTCTGTCTTCAGTGCTCCACAGCTTTTGGAGTAACTTTCTCACAAGGTCTAGCAAGAGTAATACACATAATACAAAAGTTATAGGAAGAAGCCTGGGGAAGATACTACCAGTGCTTGAGGAGCTTCCAGGGGGACAGACAGGTTACACAGTCTCTTGGCACCCCACCATCCTACTAGTAGGGTTGTTTGTTTTTGATACCTGGATCTATCTTAAGAAGGGCTTGAAGCATGAGTCACTTGCATTGGCTTCTTTTGCAAGGAGAGGAGAGGAAGACTTGAGGTTTTTTTTTTCTATTTAAGTACAGACTGTTGCAAACGATAATAAAAAATCCCAAACATCTCCGCAGAAAAGTTTGTCAATCCTCTGCTCACCAGCACTGTGGAAACATCCCGCATCTTTCCCTGCAATACTTCCTTCCCTCTCTCCTAGTTTTTAAGGAGCATCACAGAGCCAGGATTACCTGGTTGTAGACCCAAAAAAAAAAAAAAATTCTGAGCACACCAATAGGAAGAGATGAAAACCAGGCTGCCCGATAGCCCTCCCTTGCACCGTACCTTCCCTCACAGTGCTTTACAAATACTGAAGCAATTTATGCTGATAAAGGCAATACAAGAATCCCCGTTGGATAAAACTATTGCTCTGCATTATGCATGTAGGGGCTCTGATGTTCCTCTTATTGCAAACAGCTATTGAGATTTGGGATGCAAAAACTTCCCCTAGCCCCAGAAATGCAGGAATATGCTGGCTCTGAACTTCATTTGGACTCTACTGGGTCTAGTTTCTATTTACATGGTGTCGCTAGCTAAGGACTCTCCTTTCTTTTCAAAAACAATAGTGATTATACCTTTTTATTTTCCTCCCCCCCATATTAAGTGATGAGATTTCAGAGTGTAGGTTTAGGGTATGCACTCACTCTCTTACTTTAAACTTGTGTTGGGACCCATCAAAAAGAAGTTGGGAGATCTCTGCCTCCTTAAAACAAGATTGTTTTCTCACCCATTCCTTTTTATTCTAGTTTTACGTGCACCATATAAAAACCCTACATTTGCTCAAGATTTTTTTTGGTATTTTGTTTTTACTTTTTTTTTTTTCTTTCAGGATCAGACACTGAGTGCTCAGAGCACTATCAGAAGACACCCAACCTGTAGCATACAGGATGCTTTGTTTTGCTAATGCAAACTCCTGTACATTTGGGATGACAGATAAAAGCGTGCAGAAAGAATTGCCAGTACTGGTTGGGGTACTGCCTTCTCAGGGTTGGACAAGATCCACCAGGAAGTCTTTCTCACTGTCGCTTTGTCTTTCTGATCTTCTTAGGATAAGTGGTACATGCTATATCCGACAGGAGTAGCATAGAGTCCAACGGGCGGGATAGGAAGCACAGGTCTGTGAAAAGGATAGGATGTTCCATACAGTGAGGCGGCCTGGATGGGAGAGTTGATGGGGAAAGGGAGACTGAAACCCGAAGGCAACATGGGCTTCGCTGCCATTTTGAGCTTCTCCAGCTCGGCCTCCTGCAGTCTCTTGGCCTTGGCCCTCCGATTCTGGAACCAGATTTTGACCTGGGTCTCTGTGAGGTTGAGGGAGCTGGAGAACTCGGCTCTCTCTGCGATGGACAGATACTGCTTCTGGCGGAACTTGCGCTCCAGAGCCAGCAGCTGGGAGGTGGTGAACGGGGTTCGGGGCTTCCTATTCGTCTTGTGCTTCCTCAGGGTGCAGGCGGTGGGGCTCAGGTGTCCTGCAAGGAAAGGAAAGGCCAGTTATCACAAAAGGAGACACACTTGCATGCTCAGGAGCGAAGTGCAGTGTTTGAGAGGGCTACAGAAGTGTACGTGAAGTGATACCCTTCAAACATGCTATGCTGTTTTTGCAGATAGCACTTGAAATCTTTTCCTGGTCAAACTTCACCAGACTTCAGCACACATCCTGAGAAATTAATCCTAGATTTGAGAGGGACAAGCTGTGTGAAATTTCACAAGCTCTGTGAAATCTGCAGGCAAAAAAATCACAAGGGTACCCAGCAGATTACTTTAAGATTCACATCATCGAGCACCCAAAACAGCTGTGTTAGTCACACAATATCTAGGGAGTATCCCCAGCAAAATACAGGACAAACACACTAACAGAAAGAGCGTGTTCACAAAAAGGACAGTGACAAGAGAAAACAAGCCCATTCCATCCCTGCTCCAGGACTTCTCACCCAAGAACAACAAACCAGAGCCGCCTTGTGAGAGTTTTTCCCGTCATTTAAAGAACTGGGTCCGATAATTTTTGTGGTTTTGATAACCGGACATTTGAATTGCTACTTCTCCTCCTCCTGAAATTAGGCGTTTCTTTTCCCTTAATAACATTTTTTTCCCGAGGAGGAATTTCTGTTTTTCAACAAGAATTGAAAGAGAAAGCAGCACATTTTTCATTCAACATTTAGCTGTTATTGTATTTGCCAGCTTTTAAGTAGCTAATACAAGTACCTGTAGCAAATGAAAGTCAGGAAATCTGTTGATTTTTGTGTTTTCCTTATAATCCCAAGCAGGTTAGGTACATTTTCCCAAGACAGAACATCACTGACTTGCCTTCAGATCCATTTTACATTTCACTGATAATTCTGTGTTCTAAAGAATTATTAAAATCCTGGCAGCTGAATTGAAAAGCCGAGAAATTTAGCTGTATTTTGAACCACTGCTAATGCATACAGTAAACCACCCTACTTGTTGTATCAGTTTGCTACTGAAGATCACACGAAAGGCTGCCCAAAGCTGTTAAATTTTGTGCCTGCTGTAGTGCCTGGTTTCCACACTTGTCAGAATTTGCACGTTATCCTTTTGTGTCCTTTTGACTTTTTTTTATATAAAACCAAGGAGCAGTTTAAAAGAACATTAAGAAATTAAAGAAAGAAAAAAAGTTCAAAAATTCAGAATGTTATAAAGAGAGGAGGCAGGCACGTCAGAGGAAAAAAAGAGAGATTTTTTTTTCTTATTCTCGTTCTAGCTACTAGACATGAAAAATAAATCCTTCTCAGAAAACAACTTGCCAATTGCCGCCTGACGACCGCAAGGTATATTTTAATAATTAAGCTGCTAATCGCGATATTTCGTTGCATCCCAAAACTGCACGAGGCCGTGAATATACCTCGCTTTTCTGCGCGACCTCTTCTTTGCCACAACCCCCCCGGTTTCTCCTAACGCGAATGTCCCCGGGGCTCGGCGGCGACCTGCGCTCCGTCCCGGCGGCTCCGCCAGCCCAACCCGGCGCGACTTTTGCTACGCGTCGGGGAAACAGCAACAAGTTGTTTTTTAAATTAAATCCCAACTCAGCTTCTCAACTTATTTTTTTCTTATTTTTTCCTCTTCTTCTTTTTCTTTTCTCCCCAGAATCCTCCCAAACATTAACGGCCTTCTCCCCCCAACTCCCTCCCTAGTCCCCCCAATACTTGCCAAGCTCTGATAAGAAACAGGGACCGTCGCCACAGCAGACCGCTGTAATTATGTTTACCCCGTGCCAGTCCTAAAGTGCTCCATGGGGTGATTTGTTGCACTGCTTCCCCCTCCTCCGTCCCCTGCACTTTCTCACTAACTTCGGGCACCAGGCAGCACACGGAGAAAATTCCCTCTTCGGGTTGTTCAAAATCTAATATCTAGAGCTCTTCCCCTAGTTTATCCCACTAATAATAATAATAATAATAATAATAATAATAATAATAATAATAATAAATCGAGGAGCTACTTCTACTGCCAAAACCTTCCAAGGTGGGACTTCCTGCGGGAAAACTTCAGCTTCCTTTTTCTGTCAGGACAACTCCGACGGGGCCGGGAGCTGGACGGAGGTGGGATATTCGGGAAGACCATCAAGGAAGATCCAAGCGATCTTCCCGAACTAGACACCCTCTCCTTTGTCTTCATCCTGCTCCCCCGCCGCCCCGCTGAAATCACTGGCTCTCTGCACTCCTCGACCGTTGAGGTCCCTTCAAAAGCGATTTTCCAGTTCTCAACGACTGGTGATTTTAATTGAGAAAGCGGAGGAGTTTCGAAGAGAAACGTATCACGGAGAAAAATAGGCCTCGTCTAAATCTATTTTTTAGGGCTATGTTAGAAAAGGAGCAGGCCTTGGTCGAGTTCAAGTGTATTTGACGGTACATGAAGAAAGCAAAACCTAGAGGTAACGAGGAGTCTTGTCCTTCCTTCCTGGCCCATTGCCCCATCCTCTGTCAGCGGCTCTATCCCGGCACTTTAGAAATCAAATTAATTCGGGCTGATCACAACGGAAGGGAAGCGGCTGAAAGCCAAATAGAAGGATAAAGAAAAGAAAAAGAAGAAGAAGAAGAAAAAGAAATAGAAGAACTGGAAAGCACTAAACTTCCTTCTCGCTCCTGTAGATTAAAAGGCAAATTATGCCAAACCACTCAGCTAATCAGCTCACCAACAAAAAGGAGCAGCTCAACCGAAACACAGTATTTAATTTTCATCAGGCAAGTCAGAGTTATGTGGAAAAAAACGTATCGATCTGATAGTACAGGTGTTTATTAGCCAAAGCTATGGGGAAGGCATGGAGTCTAGATACTATCGCACTGCGTCTTTTCACATATTCCTTAAAGTATTTTTGGAGAGCACTTTTAAAAAAATAAAATAATAATTAAAAACCTCTTCAAAACCAAAAATGTAATAGAGAAAAGCAGTTCAAATCTCTATCAAAGACACAACAGCGAGGGTCAGAGAAGGGAAAATTTTAAAAAGTGACCTGTCATCTCCGGACCATCTGTCCCTAAAGGTGGATATGGGCTGAGGAGAGATGGTGGAGAAACAGAGAACTCAGACCCAGCTCGGAGAACTTTGACAGTCTTCACGCAAAGGGCGAGAAAGCAACAACAACCCTGCCAGGAAGAAGCACGATGGGAGTCAGCAAAGAGCGCATATAGTGGGAAGGGAAAATTCGTGTTTTAAAAGAGAAACATTTATAAGAGAGAAAAGAGAGAGAGAGAGAGAGAGAGAGAGGGAAAGAAAGTTGTTCTGCGCGTTCTATATGAGGGAAAAAAGCACCAGGGATAGCCTATAGTTGTCTGTGCAACCCTAATGGCATTAACCGGTATCAGCGTGATGTGTAGAGAGAAACGGAGCTAATCGGCTTTGGCTCCGGAATGTTGTGTCGTTTTAAAAACATATATATAAAATATGTAGAGACATACATATATATATGTATGTATGTATGCAACTCGCATAAGCATATATGAAGAACACACTGCTATACTGATATAAGTTCGTGCACACATAAAACATATGTATAGAAGTGTATATGTACGCGGCGTGCTCCTGTAAACTCGTCGCCACGGAGCAG